CCCCAAAACCCCAAAACCCCAAAACCCCAAAACCCCGTTTATGCATGTAAAAGTTGAATAAATTATTATAACAAAATGTAAAAATCAGACAGTATGGGTCTTAGCTCTTGCTCGAGAAGATAGTCAAATGTGGTCATGAGCCAGAATTAGAATCCTTTCGATATAATCAATCAAGTATTGGATTGAAAATATTCGTATGAATAAACATAATTCTGTGATTATTCTCAGACCTATGATAAAGCAAGCTCCATAGCCTTGCTTAATTATTTTAAAATCTATAGATGCGTTCAAAAATGTTAATTTTTAAGAGAAAAGAAGGCAATTGCGAACCATCTTGAATCAGTTAATAGTCTCTAAACAATACTCTTTTATTTTTGAGAAGAAGAGTCTGGTTATTAAAACCTGCAGCTCTGATTTTAGGTTAATTTTAGCTTAATCATTATGAAAAACTCATAATTATCAAAAATTGTCTTCACACTCAAAAAGTGAAAATCTTGAATAGATTCATAAGATCTATTGAGAATGATCAGAAACTGTTTGTTGGTTATAAACTGTAGTATTGCACTAAATAAGGCGACAGTAAAGTACTCTTTGAATCCCACATTGCTATTTAAAGCTTCAGTAAGCTACTTCAATTATTGCTTAGAAATGAGAATTAGAAATGCCCTATATGTTTTAAATCACTAGATTGAGCTAATAAGTTAATCAGATGACTCTTCAGTTATAAAAGATTTCACCCAGAGAGCTTACAATATTCAGGAATAAAGAGAAATTTACAGTAAATTTGGAAAATGAATATTATAGAAAATAATTTCTAAGGACTGTTGGAAAGCAATAACCAACTCTTTTAACATTTAGTGCTTTCTCTTTATATTTTGATTAAGTCTCATGGCTGATCTCCTGTTTCAGTTGGAATATATTATGAAATGTCTAAACTCCAATATGGAAATTGATAACACCCGACAAAAGTGGATCATCTTGTAATTAAATCCCTGTACTGATAACACATCTAAAAATTTACAATTTTGGCTTAAATAAAGATGTCACTTGCAGTGGAGAGAATTGATAACTAGAATTTACTCTATGACTAAAACTAACGAATCTAATGCCCGAGGTGAGGCTGGTTACCCAACAGTCGCTGATATACACTCAATGTACTTATTCCAGGAATGCTAAAGCTTAAAATACCCTCAGAAATGATATAAATCACGTTAAATGAGTTGAAATTGTCAAATTATTTTTCCTTAAACAGTCCCAACCTCGCCTTTAAGTAACTATGCCCATACTTAACCATATTAAACTAAGGAATCCTTCTTCTGGTTAGAACCATGTCTTAAAACCCTGAGACAAGATTTGGGGTTTACACACCTAAGCTCTACCACTGGTGAAACCAGGAACTCTGGTTACATTAGAGCCTAGAAGTTTTCAAAAATTTAAGCAAAAGCTATCAGAGAGTTGGCAGAAATTTATTTAAGAATTCTAAAGAGGCTTGATAAAGCTAGGTGAAGGAATGAGTTTAGTTGAGCCAAGGTTGGGAAAGAGGCGGAATGTTATTGGGTATACTATACCTTAAAAGAAGGAGATTTAATATTTTTTATAGTAAAATTTACTCATTGGAGCGAAGTTAGCATTGCTTCTCTTACTCAATCGATTTACCATAATTTATCACTTTGATCCCAACTTTGTAAATTCGTGAGATATTTAGATGTTGCTAATTAAAATTTAAAAACTAATGACTTTAACTACATCTAAAATTCCGAGGACTTTCTTATCAAGGAGGTTTAGATATTACTAATTTATTCAAGCTTATAATTAAGAATTCCTATTGGCTCTAATTTAGCATGGTTCCTTCCATGCTTTGAATGTCTCTATTCAGCATCTGTATCAGATCCTTGCAAGAATATTTCTCAATATTGTTACAGAACTGCTCAAGGGCAGAGTTACAGAACTCCAGCTTCTTATTTGGCTTGACCTTAAATACCCCATAATTCTCAAAGAGTTTCATGAGCAAATATCTGATGGACTTATCCTTCTTTAAAACCGTTCTTTGATTTTGTTCCAGAGCTCTTGAGTTGTACATATTTTTGAGTAAGTTCTCTATGACCTTCATGTACTTCTTGTAGCTAGTCTCAGAGCCGTACTCATGGTAAAAATGCTTATCACTCATGGTTTTTATAATAGTATATCATATACTAGCATAAAGACTCACGTCAGTGATAGGGGTAAATATTTTACTCGATTTTGTAGACTCTTGCTTCTGACTCTTATCTGAGTCATACTTTTGGTACACCTCTTCTAGCTTTTCAATATCAACAGTCAGCTTAGTGCTCTCATTCATGGCACTAAGGGTATTGATGTTGTGTTTAGTCCAGAACTCGAACAGCGTTCCTTTAACAAATCTCTCGATGTAAAGCTTATTGCGAATATAAATGAAATATTTCAGCTTCTCATCCTCGCTGATGGAGTGATCAGCCTTCTTGCTCATCTTGGTCAAGTGTTGCAACACCAAGTTTTTAAGAGAGTTGATGAAACTCACAGATTCTTGACTAAATTTGTTTTTGAAGTGAGAATAAAGTTTACAGAAAAACTTCATGGTCGATTCTTGATAGAATTCTGTCTCAAAATCATATTTAGTTGGAGGCCTAGTGCCCTCGCTAGAAGCTTTATTTACTCTCCCCGCTTCCTTGTGAAAGAAACTCAATTTCAGATGCTTGTGATAAGACTTCCTCTTGTGATAAACTTATCATAGATGACTTGGTAATAAAAGTAGCTTCGCTGGAGAAAGATAGTCATGATTCTCTGATGTCATCTATTTTGGTTTCTTCTCCAGTTGAAATTTCGGTACTTCCTAGAGCAGATTGGAGGTTACTTATTTAAAGATATATTGAGCGTTATAAACCTACCCAATCCTTCTTCAGATTTAGTATTCTCAATCATTTCTTTAGCTTCTTGGTACTCACTCGGGGAAGTTGTTGAGTCCTCATGAGCTCTTTTAATTGATAATTGATCTTTGATGTCATTTAAGACGTGATTAACGTTTTGGAGCCTCAGATTTTTCTTTGTATCAGCAAAGGAGTCGACTTTGTTTGCAAGGATAGTTGGAGCCTTATGCAAGGGGTGGATCATGGGAATCTCTTGTAAGAAGGAATTACTTGAAGATTGTTTCATCCCACTTAAGTTTCTTTTGTAATCGATGAACCCAGGTTGGTAAAAGTTATTTATTTCTGGTAAAAATCCGAGTCTCTTCACATATCATCTGAAGAAAGCCAAGGTGATGAAACAAAGCTTGGCTTGATACAATAAGCGAAGCGAATTCTATATTTCTGATTTCGTGTTCAGATCTGTATTGACGAATTATTTTCTCGATCTCTTTCTTCATTGCTCTATTGCTATTGTGATGAAGATAGAGAACAATTTTTATTTCAGGGAAGCAATCAGCAAGCTGGATTAAAGATCTCACATATCTCAAAATCAGGTTATTAGAGTCTTCTCATGTATGAGCTTCCTCGCTCTTAATATTCTTATCTAAAGGGTTATCAATAAGGAATTACTAAGAAGGTCAATCTCTCTTATATCTTCATTGGTGGGAAAGCAGCATTCAATATCAAAAATGCAGCAAATTTTAAAAGGTCTTCTTTCAGCCATTTTATAATCTAAATAATATTTTCATAAAACCTCTCAATTTTATCTTGGCCTCTCGGGGTTTTGGGGTTTTGGGGTTTTGGGGTTTTGGGGTTTTGGGG